TCTGTCTGGTATGAAAGAACGCTTGAACTGTGGTAAGTTCGACTAAGGAAACTAGTTTACGAGAACGTGAAGTTACAATAAATGTCTCCAAAATATCTGACCTTTTAGAGAATTTGGCAAAGGTCTAAATGATTTCTAAATGTTTTCCAACATATTCTTGAACAGAGTAGAGCGCTGAATGTTCTATGACAATTGACGCTTATTAGCTCCGAGAACCTGGGCGTTAAGTTAGATAAGCTTTCTTAGAAGTGCATAGATTGTTTTTCGTTGTCAGACTACTGTAGTCTTTCGGCATTCATTGTGATATTTTTCTAAAGAAAAACTAGTTTTTCTTTCGGAAGATCCGGAGACGTTTGCCAACTTACACGAAATCCGCTGAGGAATAAAGTAAATTCACTTTTCCGCTTAGTCCTGAATCGACCACCTATAATATGCCCAAATTCTACCGGTTTCATCTGGATGCTGCCTGAACACAACGGTTAGATTTTATTGCTTCAATTAACATTCTACGGAATGACAATAGGTGTACTATAATATGAACTGATTCCATTCACTCATTATTTATCTGGCAGAGCAGCAAGACATATATTCAAAGGAGTCATTTTCGTCTTGGGTTCACACGGACCCCGGTGGACGAATCAGAGTTAGAAAGTGTAGTGGCTATAATGTATTTCCTACAAGAATGAAGATTTGCATTTTCACCAGTCGAACCAGCCCATCAGCTCTATAGAATATGGACTTGCGTGAATATTTTTTATAGATCGTCGTATGGGTTAACTCAAAAGCAAATTTACGTCAAATTCTTCTGATAAATAGTAGCAGCATCACTCAAAAAGGTTTGCAGCAAACTCGACGTGATCATTACCAGGTGCTAGTGGTAGTGGTGATTTGGCTGGAGCTACTTCTTCAATTGCAGGCAGGTTATCTTTCGGTGGGTTTGGTGCTGGTAGTGAGACATTTGTTGGATAAAAGTTTTTAACTGGTTTCTCTGCAATCTGCTGTGTTGTATATAGACGATGAACGCCTTTGGAATCAGTTGCAACAGTAAGCATCTTTAGTTTTCCAACCTTCCAGTTATTCAAATTCTCTCCAAATGTATTACGTAACTCATTCATTTCATTTGCTTGACGAAACTCATATTCATTTCCATACATTTTTTTCACGTAAGCATCATTGTATTTCGATACTGGAGGTACACCAGTTTTGTAGTCGATGAAAGCTGTAGCTTTACCGTCTAAGTCGAAAACTAAAAGAAAGTATAGGATTCATCAAAACAATTCATTGGTTTTTAATCAATTTATAAGGTTTTGTGTTAGTTACAAAAAATAGTCACTATATACTTTAGATTAAGTTCTTGCGAAAATAAGAGGGCAGTGGAAGTAAAAGTTTTTAGATTTGCTAGTTTTACAGATGTTGTGGAATAAAATTGGATCGAGTATTAAGCGGAAGTATCAGCTCTTATTTTTCGCTCTATTTCTTCGTATTTTGTGCAACTTGACAGGTCATAAGAGAAACACAGAGTGATATTCCAAAATGGACCAAAACAATTTTTTTTGTCGTATTATGCCAAATGACGTGAATCTCGAAGCCTGGTGTCGAGTATCAGTACAGAATAGCGTATTTCTCATAGGATTTAATCGTGCAACGTATAAACCGTCTAACTGATATGTTTTTTATTGATCTCGGCGTATTTAACTTTTTTAAAAGAAATGAACAGCTTTCGTAGGATAAAATTGGTTAGTGAGAACGAAACTAAACCTTCGACAGATCTAGGAAGCCCATAGTTGGAAAAGACGGCTATAACGCATTACAATGCCACGACTTTAAGGCCTTCGATGAATTATGCAATATTAAAATACCTTTTAATTGTGCGTGTTTTATACAGAACACAACTAATTCGCCTAATTTATGTGGTACGTCACCACCACCAACAACAACTTCGCTTTCCCAGCCGTGTTTTTTAACCCATTCTTGCAAGTATTCCATTTTACTTGGATCTAAGTTAGTAACACGTTTCTTTTAATAAATATTACGACAATAACCATCAACAGCTAAAACAAATGATAAAAGCATGAAACATTAATATACAGAACATATGCGTAATTCTCATCAAACAAAGTAAATAAAACAGACACACAAAAGTAAAGAAAAAGAAACAGTTTAAGAAGACGATGACAAAAAAAGAGGAGAGATGTGGTTTCCTCATTAAGTTACAAGGAAAGTTGCGCACGAAAACTTTAATGATCGAGTTTGTAACCGAAATGCGCTGAGTAATACTTCATTGCAGGAACTAGAATTAAAATAGTCCGGAATCTCATTGCTTTCACCTTCCTTTATGCATTCAACTAGAGCTGGGCAGAATTTGCTTAGTTTTTACACCAGACTAAAACTTATAAATGAAATGAATGAAATGCACTAGCTAAAATGTTCGGTTTGCGTCAGCGAAAGATAATGAATAACTACCGTCTCAGCAGATGCGCATCGACTTTCATCCTATTAGAGAATGCAGGAGATGCAAAATGCGGCGACGCTTAGGGTTTGAATTCGCACATTGACCCTGTATAAATTTGGAAGCTGGAATACGATAGTTAGTAACTGTTTCTCATGTGCTTCATGTTCTGCAAAAACTTACAGAACTTTTTTACAACTTTTGTTCTAATCTTTTTTCTCACATAGAACGAAAAACTGTAGTGAGTTACACCCACATAATAATCACTGCATAATACTTGAATAACTTAAATGACCTATTTAAGAATTTTAAAATGAAAACAAAGAATTTTCTTTCTAGAGATAAAATATAAAATTCTCATGTTTTTTATATTAAAAAGAAGACACAAGGTTGATCCTTTTTGTTATTCAAAAGACAACACAAGTACGACTTTTGTGTATATGTGTCATATACTACGTTTTTCAAGTTTTATACGTAAAAAGTGGGGAGAAAAACTTTTCCCCATGTATAAAAGATGCAATAGAACGCGTTTGCAGGGTCCTAGTCGGCGGTAATTTACGAACGACAGTCACAAGGTGACCTCTTCTAGCTGTGTTCAAAATTCACCTTTTAAGTCATTTGTTCGAATGGCACGACCAGATACTGGGGAAAACAGGGTTCATCAGTCATGCTTACACTGGGAGAAAAGCGAATGAAAGGAAAGATTTCCCTATCTTCCTGCTTTCTTTTTTGAAATTCAAGAAAATCCGTCGCTGAAAAGAAACTAAAAGTTCTCTTTACTTTTTTCTGATTCACGCGGGGGTGCTTTTTCAGAGATCTTCTAAACATCTGCCAAACATCCTGAGAAGACCAATAATTCTTACGTCCTTGGATACCCGTAAAAACATTTGAACACGATGATGATTTAAAACCAGTCAGAGAAGAAGTATAACATGTGTAAGACTAGTACTGGTATCAATGTACAATTTGATCGTTTATGGAAAACACATTTAGAGCCTCCTAAATCTGTACAATACCTTTCACAAAGAATCATGTTTAGTGACATTATTTCTTCTTCCTATTACGTGTCATTTTACACCACAAATTGAAAGTCTAGAGAGTCAATTGGTGAGTTGATAAACTCTTGGTCAAGTTAGGACAAACATTTATACAGGAACATACATGTATTCTTTAGTTTTAAACGCGTTTATACCGTATGTTATCGATTTTTGGAAATTCAAGCGCTCTGATCGTTAAGTCTGATAGTTTAACATATGGGAACAAAAGTTACAGAAATGTAATGCGTTGAAACAGATTAATAGAATTAACGCTTTTGAAGTCGTTTGATTTCAGTATAAGTGAAGTATGTTATAACTTTAATTGTAACGGGTGTGAACACATTAACCCTTGTGTTACCAAGCGGGGTCCAAACGGACCCCACTGCAGAAAACAGACATTAAACGAAAATATTTTGGTATCTTTCTTCTGTCAAACATATGGATTCAAATGGTGATATAGATAGTACGAGAGACCGGCTACATGATGTACTATAGGAGCGGACTCTGTCTGTCTATATAGATTTTCATAATTAAAACAGTTTTTCCTAGCGAAAATAGGTTTTGAGCGCTTTCCAATGTTTTGCATTTCCTAACCAAGAGATTTGCGTTAAAATGAAAACAAAATACACCAATCGATAGAGAATTTCACGCTCTGTTCGGCTAGCTAGTTGGACAAATCATAGACATTGTTTTTCCCGTCGAAATAATTAAAAAAGA